CTAGCTGCATGAGCAAAATTAAAACAAACATGTACCTGGGACATGCAATGCTGGCTAACTAAGCGGGAACCGAAGCCTAAAAATCATAGCCTCGTCGCATTTCGAATTGCTCTTTACAGGTCCCTTGCAATTTCAGATTTTTCGAAAGTCTGTAAATGAGTCAAAATCCGTATTACTTACAACATATCGTATTTAAGCTTGAAAAATGTCTTCTGATTTGACACAGAATACAACTGGGGAAAAATTTTCTTTTGATGCTACTCATTCAAGATTATACTCAAATATCAAATATGTGTCAAACTAATCCGCCTTGTTCTGGCCAAAAAATTTCCTATGCAAAATAAAAGAAAACGCTTGCAAAATTTTGATGAAAAATTACTTCGTAGCTTTTTGTTCAAAAAAACAAAAACCTTCATATTCCGCCTAGTAAGGTACTTTGTCATATTCTGAAAGTACTAACGTCTGGGTCGAAGCGTTAAATCTCAAAATACACCAAAGAAAACTCGAAACGGCTAAGACCTGTCAAATGTTTCTGTCGAAAGATCCGCAGAACTAGAATCTCTTCAAGAGTTGAAACAAACATCAGCAACTCAGCATGCTGACATCCACAAGCAGTGCAAAACTGTTCAAAGCAATTATGCAGAAAGAAAAAATGTGAAACCGCTCGCAAGACAAAACATCACCGACGACAAACAAACACCGGTAATTCAGCTGCCAAAATTCCCACCGGCCAAAACAACGTGATGAAAATGTTGAAATATTTGAAAGAAATCAAGGAAAACGAGATCGAACTGTCAATATAAAGCTAATAATAGCCATCTGCAGTTCGATTTCTCGAGGATACGTTGTAATTCGAAAGCCAGGAACTCCGGCACGGCATAACGTATTCTGTTGTTGAGCCACAATCTGCAACACCAACCATGCAAATATCGTTGCCTCGTTTCTGTTCATCTGGCATGCTGATAACCAAAAAAAAAGGAAGCTCTTTAATGGGAGTACGCGGACAGGAACAAATAAATGGCCAACGCACGGGCTGCCCGTGCGAAGATGCGTTTTTTGCAGAGTTCCCCGCAGTTTTTATCGCTACCGGTATCGGTTTTTTCGGCAGATGCTTCTACCCGAAAGAATTTCAGATTGGCCACCAGAACCGTCAGGAAACATCCCCTCAAAATTCCAGTCTCCTAGCTTCTCACGTTCTCGAGTAAGTAACTTACCCGGAAGGAACTTCTCACGGGTCTGTATGTAGGTACCACGCCTACCCGCGGGCAGGGTTTGAACTTGTTAATACCCACTTAGACAGGGGACACCCCCCTAAGATTTCAGCTCTCTAGCTTCACAGATCTCCGAGTTATGAATTTACGCGGGAAAAACTTTGGAGGGCCGC